CTTAAGAATGAAATTCTGTATCTAGATTTATCTAAACATATCAAGATCATCAGCTAAATCTAGCGTAGCGATATTTAATTGGTTCAAATATTTTCATTAATTTTAATCATTAATACTAATTTTAAAAAATGACCCCATCCCCCCCACCCAACTATAAGTGAGACACACTGCGCATTTCTGATAGACTACGTTGCTGCAACTAAATGCTGGCATGCTTGCAACGGTTTAGGAAACGATGCGGCCATCCTAACCGTTCCTAGCGAGTGCAAGGCCAGCCTTGAAAACTCTCGGTTGATTTCGAGTCCACGGCGGCATTTTCCAGTTGGTTCTATCACTATTTTTTTTATAGCTTTCATGATGACTAAAATTATGAAATAAATCTTATCGAGTAAAATTATGAAATAAATCATATCGACATATTGGTAAAGAGAGTTCGTTTACTCAAATTACTGCGAGTGAGTGTGGGATGGTAGAGGAAAACCGTATAGGCCTATCCTATAGGCCAGGGGTCGGGAACCTTTTTGTCTGAGAGAGAGCCATCGACACCACATATTTTGAAAAGTAATTCTGTGAGAGCCATACATTATGTTTAAAACTAAAAATTCAAGTAAATGTGTGCATTTTATGTAATTTCAACACTAAAAATGCAATAATTATGTATCTGAATTCTTTTTAATAACATTGTTATACTGTTGCTAATCAAAGGAGTCTTTAAAGTAACTTACTTTTATATAATCGAACATCTGCGAGCCAGATGCAGCCATCAATTAGAGACCGACCGAAAGTGATTTTCTGATTTCGGCTGAAGCCGAAAATAGGCTGAAAGTTTAAAATGACATTCGGCCGAAACCGAAAAAGGCCGAATGTTTAAAAATGACTTTCGGCCGAAACCGAAAAAAGACCGAAAGTTAAAAATGAATTTCGGCCGAAACCGAAGCCGAAACCGAAAATGAAATATTAAGATATTTTGAAATTCGTTCCCGCATACATTCTGCTTACATCGAAAATGATGTGGGAAAATATAAATATTTACATTCTTTTTATAAAAATGAGATAATCGTAAATATTAATAAATAAAAATCTAATTTAGGGTTCTCAAACTCGCGGACAGCGAGCCATTTGTGACCCGCAAGACGATATTTTGCGGCCCGCTACATGACAGAAAAGTTTAGTGTAAATGCGCCGGCCCGTTTCCCCCATTCTCTTTTCCATAACGTGACTCTCAGCGACGGTTTCAGTCGAATCTCACCGACTAATCTAATTCTGATTTTTTTTTTTAATGTCTCTATATATTTTTGTATGACAGCTCTCTGGCAACAGTGAATAGGTGAATGAAAGTGAATCCTAGTTCTTGAGAACCCTTAATGATTTTTTTGTTATTTTTAAAGGTTGACCAGATTGTAACAGTTGTAATCGCTTTTTTGTGGATTACTTGATGCGGCCGACTCTCATTCAGACACTACCTCTTGCGCCCCCCCCCTCCCCCCATAATTTGAGTTTGATACCCTTGATCTAATGAATACTTTGGATTTTACCATTTTAATATAAAACTAATTTAAATTGCTTTACAATTTTTTTCAAATTTGTATGGTAGGAGAAATTAATGCAAAATATTATTTTTTTGAAACCGGGTCTCTAAAAAATGTGGTTCTAAAAGATCACTTAATTTGTTCTTAAAGATCGCTTAGTTTGTTGTTAAAGACCGTTTAATTGGTTGTTAAAGATCGTTTAGTTTGTTGTTAAAGATCGGTGAGTTTGTTCATAAAGACCGTTTAATTGGTTGTTAAAGATCGTTTAGTTTGTTGTTAAAGATCGGTGAGTTTGTTCATAAAGATCGCTTAGATTGTTCTAAAATATCGCTTAGTTTAATCTTAAAGATCACTTAATTTGTTCTTAAAGAAAGCTTAGTTTGTTGTTAAAGATCATTTAGTTTGTTGTTAAAGATCGTTTAGTTTGTTGTCAAAGATCGGTGAGTTTGTTCATAAAGATCGCTTAGATTGTTCTAAAATATCGCTTAGTTTAGTTTAATCTTAAAGATCACTTAATTTATTCGTAAAGAAAGCTTAGTTTGTTGTTAAAGATCGTTTAGTTTGTTCTTAAGGATCATTTAGTTCGGTCTTAAAAATTGTTTAGTTTGTTATTAAAAATCGTTTAGTTTGTTATTAAAAATCGTTTAGTTTTTTTATTAAAGATCGCTTAGATAGTTCTTAAAGATCGCTTAGTTTGTTTTAAAGATCGTTTAGTTTGTTCATAAATGTCGTTTAGTTTGTTGTTAAATATCATTTAGTTTGTTCTCAAAGATCGCTTAATTTGTTCTTAAATGTCGCTTAGTTTGTTGTAAAATATCGCTGTCGTTTAGTATTAAATGACCGAAAACCTGAGTAACTTTCGGCCGGGTGGCCGAAAGTCTAAGTCAATTTCGGCCGAAACAGAAGAAAAACCGAAAGTTAACTTTTCTCTTTTGGCCGAAACAGAAATTAAGCCGAAAGTTAACTTTCCAGTTTCTTCCGAAACCGAAACTTGGCCGAAAGTGATAAAATGGCCACTTTCGGCGCCGAAACCGAAGCCGAAGCCGAAATTCGGTCGGCCTCTACCATCAATAGAGCCAAATCTGGCTCGCGAGCCATAGGTTCCCGACCCCTGCTATAGGCAATGTCGATGTGAGGGACTCGCGAACCAAACCATGCTTAAATCCAACATCACTTACAAAAACCGCAAACACAAAGTACATTAAAAGTTTGTATCAATTTCTCCGTGGAAAAAAAACAACAACAAAAAAACAACAAAACGCTTAGAAGTTTATCATTTCCGACAAACAAACAAACAAGAATATATATAAAAAAAAAAAAGAGAATTCAATGACGAAGTATTCATACTCTAAGAATAGGTTTTGATGAAATTATGGTCAATGGAGTAGTGATGTTGCTAGGGTTAGTGGCGCCCGGTGCGGGCCAAGATTTTAGTCACCCCTACCACGAGTAAAGCTATGCAGTTATCATAAAATTCCGCCCCTCCATATAAATAAAAAAGTACCACCCAGGGCAGACCGCTCCCTCTGCCCTCTCAGGGTTGCCAACCGTCCGTAAATTTACGGACAGTCCGTAAAGATTTGTCGTAAAATTGCCTGTCCGTAAAATTCCGTTAAAAAGTTAAGACGTCCGTAAAAAAAAAAATCGACTAAACGTGGAATCTCAACGTTTAAAATAATCCAGTAAATCATGTTTGTGATATCTATTTTCTTGATTCAAATTTTAATTTTTAAATTGTTTTAGTGGCATCCCGCGCTCTATTAATAAACTGGAAGAGCTTTCTGGACAGCTAGGCTGTTCGTTTTAAGGTCAACATTTTATGTTAAATGTGTCCGTAAAAAAATTGTTTTTGTCCGTAAATTGTGTTGAGAGTTCTTATATTTGTCAGTAAATGTTATTTTATTGAGTTGGCAACCCTGTGCCCTCTCCTACACCACTAGAGCAATATTAATGGATATCATTAGTTGATCCAAGCTCTTGCACCAGGATACTTGCATGGAATCGTCATACGCGCATTTGCATGGAATCGTCAAGAATGATATTTAAATGCACTAGTAAAAGTTCCGGACTTAATTATGGAGTGTGTGTATTTAGATATTATTATTATTATTTATTTTTAAAAGACAGAAAACCTTACTGTTTAATAATATTACCACCCAGAATCAGGCTCTTTATACATTCAACTGCGTCATGATTGTAATCTTATGTCAACTTATGCATAAAAACTTGGTTGGCAGTTTAGTGCACAGTTAGTGCCCCTCAGCTCGGGGCGGGAAAATATCTTTGCTACCAAACTTCAAAGAAAAATATAACATCTGCAGTTGGCCGAACATGATGCCCCTCAATATAAATAAAAAAAAGTGCCAAGTGGGCCGGGCAACCCCTTTGTTCCCACTCCTACCCTGACTGGTTGAAGTTCAACTGAACAATTTATTATTCAGGATAGTTCCCGATCTCCGGTTGACTTGTCTGTGGTGGCTTGTCGATTAGGAGGCGTCGGCCACGGACCCCCTCGACGTTACCCGGGAAACACGACCACTGGGCGCGTCCTGCGTGGGCAGACAAGGGATGTGCTCGGTACCTGCCGTACATAAAACAGCTCCTACAGGGCTGCCAGTTGTGATATTTCCCAACTGGAACAATAGGCAGTGACAGGGTAGGGATCATGATTACAAGTTGCCGTTAATGGATATGAGGCGAGAGGCGAAGGTGGTAACCTCTGGCCGATGATTCTTACTATGCAGCCCTGAGAAGCTGCTCCAAGGCAAACGTTTCGTCCCAGCTGCATCGCGAATTAGTTGCGTTGTGGAAACCCACTGTAGAATCCCTCTTATAGGGCGTCTAACGCTTCCCCGGGATGGGCGGGGGAAGATATTAGGACGTAAAATTTTCCATCCCGACTCCTGTGAAAGTCGATCGTGTGCACTGTGTGCAAACACAGTGTCGGCGTCGGACCGACCGGGTGTCTTTGGGTTAGGACGGCCCCCGGCGGAGACACAGTCGAGCAGACTCGGGTGGGGGCCGTCCTGACAAAGGGACATCCCCAACGTGCCGCTCCGCGACCCGATACCGGGTTGGGGAGGGGTGTTTTGGGGAGGGCATAAAGAGCGCAAGCTCGACGGCCCGCTGACGCCATTTCTTAATGTAATATATATTATTCAGGATACTTAGCTTTTGCTTTATCATAAAATACTCTAATAAAAATTTGCTTTCTGATAAAATTACTTGTAAAAAAAAAAGCAAAATGTTAAACCTTTCTTCTCCCCCCCAAAAAAAAATAAGAATACAATGCAATTTTTAAAATGATTTTGAAGTTCTTCATTTTTGAAAAGTCTTGAGATTTAATGGACTGTCAATAAAATTGGAGACACGCTAAAGAGTTACAGTTGACATATCTTAACACTCAGCGTCAAAGATCAATACACAGGAAATGAAGTTCTTTCCCTTCAGAGAAAGCGCATGCGCAATGATACGTTGATCAGAAAAGTCTGGAAGTAAACAAGATGGGATAGAAAATCTGGGCAAGAGATCTGTATGTAATTACCAAGTATAATCAATAGCTAAGTCTTTTGCCATGTGCTGTGTATAAAATATACACCTTTCGAACTAATTTAATAAGTCTCAACATACAATCACAATGAATGGTGAAGCGTCATCCTCATCACCACAGTCTCAGACTGAGGACGATAAAAAATCTCCGAATGATGATGATCAACACGGGACATATGAATGCAACATCTGCCTCGAAACCGCAAATGACCCTGTTGTTAGTATGTGTGGCCACTTGTTCTGGTAGGTACACGCATATAAGTATGTTTATAATTATAGCTATATTACACAAATATTTTCTCTTAAAGCTTTGAAATTTTATTTATTAAATAGGGCCTACATTTGATTTAATTTATACTACTTTTAATACCAAGTCTTGGCAAGTGATTTTCATTAATTATCAAGTACAGTTGAGCCCACTTACCTCAACCTCGATTAACTTGCCAACCATGTTAAGTCGACGTTTTTGAAATGGAACCGCCAAATTCTCTGTTTTTAGGTTAAAAATCGGTTATGTCGATTCTTTTATCTCGCCGGACCCTAATATCTCGAGCTCTAAAGGGGGCCAAATTTGCCACTTAACGTCGGTTATCTCGATCCCCATGACCAATCGTCTGCTTTTGAACTCCGCAAGAAGAAATAGATAACAACAAATAAACTAAACAAGTTTTGCATGATTAAAAATTACTATTTATTTCTCAAAATACAGGACTTGTGTTTTGGAATGAACCTAGAAGTAATTTAAATAAATATCTTTTAATTTATTTTGAGGTTTAAAAAACCCGGTAGTTCATATTATAAATCATCATTATTTGCAGATAGCAAAACGTCATGGCATGGGCAGCCATTCATGGTCACTTGCATAATAACTATGCCGTGGTACTACCTCAGAGTTTAAGTAAAAGGAGTTTGCCGTGTTAAAAACTATTAAACCATATAAACCATTGGTCAGGGAAAGCTTTAATGAAATAGTCAATTGCCAAAGTTGAAATTTCTAAATAAGTAATCCCTAAATTGTATTTTAGTAATGAGGGGATGCGTTGCCTTATGCGATTTATATAAACTATATAGCCATTGCGCATGATGCAATCAGCAGAATGAGTCACAAAATGTGGAGGTGCAGTAGATAGTAGAAAATACCGAACAAAAAGACACTTTAAATAAAAATTCTTAGCTCAAAAAGATTGAAGCTAAAAAATCGATTCTGTTTTCATTTTTTTAATTTGAAATTTGCTCTAAATAACTAATATAAAAAATTTTTTTTTTCTGAAGTACCCACATTTACTAAAGCACATCATGTACATGAAGAAATTTAAAGTACATGTTAATATATTGCCTCCATAATGGTTTTCGTTTATCTCGATCAGCGGTTATCTCAACACTTTTAGGCAAACCCCTAGGCCGTCGACATAACCGGGTTCTACTGTAGAATAAGTATAATAGTATAATAGAGCAAACTTTATAAAAAAAAATGAAACAAAAATGATTTTTTTATCAGTAGTTGCTGAGCTATGAATTTGCAAAGTATGCCTTCGTTTTTCCTTTTTTAACAGGCCCTCATCTCCATAGTCTGTGACCCAATTCCGCTTTTCACATTATGAGCTATATAACTGTTGTTAAATGATAATTTTATATGACTTTTATTTTCAGAATTAAATCTGTACCCAAATCTATTCATTAATGGTTAATATGAAGTATATTAAAAATGAAATTTTCCATTTCAAGTTCAACTTAAAAGGTTCAAAAGAAAAAAAAAGCGTGCTAAAATAAAAGTGCTGTCTTTTGATTGTTTGAAAAAAAGAATTACCTATATTTAATCATTTCTACCATGTGGCCATTTTACCATAATTTTCTGGGGAGGGAGACCCCTCTTCCCACTTTCAATACAAAAATAAGAAAAAGAAACAAAAAAGATTTCTGGGAAGAACCCCTCCCTACACTTTCAAGCCTAAACTGTATCAAATAAATGCAAAGCTAAAAATCAAAATCTTAAGTATATGGAACTATGGTGGGTAGTTGACTTGGTGGAAACTTCATGACCGATATACCATGGAAGACATCACCAGCCTAACCACCTAAACCCAATCTTAGCCTAACAATGGGTACTTCTCGTATCACCCAGGGAAACTCTGAAAATTGGGTAATGTGATTTCATTATCAATATGGTAACCTCCACGGTTAAATTTACCATGAGTAAAGTTCTTTCAGATGTTTTAGCAGATTATAGACCAGCATGCACTATCTATTTCCACTCATATCTTAGAGTAGAAATCTTGTTTTCTCATTAGACATGTTGTTCTAAAAAGAATTTTAGGTCTTAAATTTGAAATTCAGAAGCAAAATTATGCTTACTTTACTCATTCATATATTATTTTGTGGACAATATATATCTCTTAAACGAAAAGATGTTCAGGGTGGTCACAAACCAGACTGAAATTTTAAATGTTCTCTCCCTAACTGTGTTAAATTGCAGTTCCTAGAGCACACAAGTAAATTGCCAATATTCAAATACTGGGTATTCAGTAGCTGGGTTCTTAACCTTTTTTGCAGCATCGCACCTGCACGCCCTCTCAATTAGTTGTGTGCAAAATCAGGGGACTGGTTTTAGTTTGACAACTGCTGACAAGCTTGGCGGTGGATTCAAGTGGCTGGTTGAGTTATGTAATGTTCAAAACCAAAAAAAGTTTTCCATTTTAATCTTTTAGCTGGCCATGTGTACACCAGTGGCTGGAAACAAGGCCTCACAGACAGACATGCCCAGTATGCAAAGCTGGGATTAGTAAAGACAAAGTGATTCCAATATATGGACGTGGAAATCCTAATCCTCAAGACCCAAGGTGGTAAATTTAGTTTCATGTTATATTTTGCCATACACACTTTTATGATTTTAAAAAGGGAGATAATTAGTAAATTTGTATAAGATAAGGTGGGTGACCAGAAAGATCCACAAAGCCATAGCTGTGCACAGGAAAAATTCACTTATCAACATTAGCGCACACTAATAATTGCGTACACGGCAATTCCGCACACAGACAATTGTGAACCTTGATTATTTTGGACAGACACAATTGCTCAACATATCAAGGAAATTTTATTTAACCCTCGAACTGTGGTCGGCAATGAAAATCGGCCAATATTCTCGTTCTGTGCTGTGGGGCCGATTAAAAAGATGGTCAGATATCAACTTCCAATCCAATATTTGACCGGAATAATAGCAAATTCCTTTTTATAAATAATTAAATTATCTTCCGGGTCAAGCTTGTTAATCGGAGTTTTAAATCACTGTTTTTTTTTAAAGCTAACATGGTTGAAGCTATGGCTGGGCCTTCAGTGCAAGAACTAATATAAATATTTTTGAAAGCTTTTTAGGAGAGGATTTAAGAGATACTGATGATAATTTTAACATTCCCCATGACGATATCAGTTGAGATTCTTCTTCTTATGAATCTTATACAAGTCTTAGTGATACTAAAGTAGGCCTACTGAGGCTACTGTTAGACTTCGATGTTGGGCAAGGACTGATACAGACGCTACAGATTATAGATCAGAACGAAATAAATGTTATAGTTCAACAACTCAAATTAGTTCCACAGTTCCTTTTTAAATGTTTACTAGTCAATAATAACTATTTTTTGAGATTTTTTATTTTGTACTTGGTTTTAGCTGTGGGCCCAGTTTGTTATATAAATGACCTAAAATTACTAAAATTGCTTTCAGAGGTTTAATTGTAATCAAAACCTTAGCAAACTAATCATTTTCTGAAAGATAAATGAATTGGCTACAACATTTAGAAAGTGTTTTAAGTGATGAGCACTTGAAAGCAAGACATTTTGTTTAATTTTTTTTTCTTGAGCACTCCAAGGTCAAGGACACTGAGCAAAATTTTTTTACACGGTGGGCAATACAGCCAACTTTATTCCCATCCATTTACCTTTATAAAAATATATACTTATTGGGGACTTGTATCAATATTTCTGTGTCATTTAATGCAATTTCAAAAGGCACTCAAAAAGCTATGAAAAGCTCCCTCACTACAGAAAGATGCATGCCACAGTTCGAGGGTTAAGACACATTTTTAAAATCAACATGGTTCATTTCAGTTGCTTATCAGCATAAAAGGGCAATTTGGGAAGAATAATACTAACAGTATAATAGGAAAAATAATTGTTGTGTTTAAAATTGTGTTTCGAGATTTAATTTTATTATGAAAATTTACTTGGAGGTAAATTTTCATGATAATAATAAAATAAAGAAAATTATATTTATTAAAAAAAAAAGAATATTGCTGCAAACATAACAAAGCATGTTATCTCTTTCAAATATCTGTAGATCTCATAAAATAACATTGAATACACACCTTTTTATCAATGTGTCATGGCCATGGCTGTTAATTTTTTAGCTTCATAAAATTTTTCTATATCATTTTATTTGCACAATTGAATGCTCCTTAATTTACATTGGTTTCTTAATTCTAAATATATATTTATACATGTAAGTTAAATTTAAGGCGATTAGTTTTAAAATAAAGAAACATGTCGATTATAAAAACAACAGAATATCACAATATTCACATTTTTTCACATGTAATAAAATTGATTTTTTTCTAGCACATACCAGTATACAATATTACAACACATTAAAATTTCAAGTGAATAATACCGTAAATTTTGTTTAAAAGTTACAAGTAATTTAGACAAGATATTAAATAAAAGTCTAACCCTCAAAAATTAAAAATATTAAAAAATTGTGAATAATAATATAGTTTTAAAAGTTTTAAAGGAAAAATGCAACAAATGATAACATATAATTTTAATATTAAGTAGCGGGTGCTACATTAAAATAGAATAGAAGAAACAAAAACAATTTTTCTTTAAATAAGAGCAAACATTTAACCAAGTCAGAGGTGTAACCTACTGGTAGTTAGATAATGTCATGATAATTTATTGACAACCTACAGGTAGATTATGTCATAATCATATAACATAAGTACCTATCATTTCCCAGACTACAATCATACAGCATTAGTAGGCCTAATTACTATTCTCAAGACCACAGTCATATAACATTAGTACCTATCATTTTCAAGACCACAATGATATAACATTAGTGCCTACCATTTTCAAGACCACAATCATATAACATTAGTACCTATCATTTTCAAGACCTAGCATTTGTTGACAACTGAAGGTTTCTTGTGAGCATTTTCCTGTATTTATTCATTTGTGTAAGAAAAATATATTTAACCAAATCTATTATAAAATAAAGAGTGAAGAGTCCTTTGATTTTTATATTGGTTTAGAAATTTCCTTAAATTCTATCTTGTTTTTAGACCAGGTAGCGGTCTGTCTTAACTATATATGGTGGAGATAAAATTCAATTTTTTACACTCACAATCATAATTATAGTATTCATAACCATAGATTATGTTAAAAGACTATATTTGTAAAGCACTGAAACATTTAACAGCATATTTACAATAATAAAAATAGTAGGCTACTTTGTAATAGGACTTAATACATTTCACTGAAGGAAACTAAGGAAAACAGTTGAGTGCTTACAATTACAAAATAATTATAGTAGAAATAGCCTGTAATTCTGCAGGTAATATTATGATGGCTTTCCTGAGTTTTAAAAATAAAACATAATAGTAAAAAATAAAACATAATAGTAATAGGCTATCATTATTTTTTTTAACTCATTAATAAAGGGAGCAAATGATATTCGGATTATCTGTCTATAGTATTCTATAGTATATGCCATAACCCCCGTCCATTACAAAATCAAATTTAGTAAGAAGAGTAAATCAAAACACCATGTGATACATTCTTTGATTTAAAAATAGATATTAACGAATGTTTGAATAATTCAAACAATTATAATAAAACTCAAATTAGGCTTAGATACTAGGAGTAGGGCAATTATTTTAAACTATAATACTTCATTACGACATAATAGGCTAATGTATTAATTAGTCTATGAAATGGAAAATATAAACAAACCTTCATTGCCTACAAGCTTTAGGAGTTATTTTGCATATTGGGACTATAATTTAAAAGTAATCGTTTCTGTACCGTTATTATCAGACTCTTATGATGTGTACAGAAATATTTTAAACAGCCTTTTTTGGGGTGACTAACTGTCACTTTAGTATTTAAAAAAAATAATTCTTCTTTGCCAAATAGAAATTAACCTTTGCTTTATTTTTATATTTGTGTATAGTTTTAAAAATCAATTTTTTAAAATATTTTGTTTTAAAAATGATTATTTCTAATCCTAGCTTCATCGCCGACTTGTCTTTTACGCTGATAACGAACTACAGTCTTTTCAACTCTTAAATGAGTTTACACTTGTATGCAAAATTACATTGTGCGCATTTGTGTGTTCGCTATTGTCAGCATTCGCAATTGTCAGTGTGCGCCATATGCTTTTGTTGGTGTACGCAATTTTCTGAGTGTTCATCTGTCTGTGTGCGCAGTTGTGTCCGCAAAGTTTTCTGTGTGCGATTATCGGGTGCGCATTTGTCACAGGCGCGTTTTTTACAGAACCGATATGGTGGTCTGCATAAAGTAATCTAAGTTTTTAATTTTTCTATGTGAAATTTATTTAAATAATTTATGAAATAAAACTGGTTAAATATCTGCTTCTGCCCTCTCCTTTTGGAGGACATGTTGTCATACATCTCTGTCTATTTCTTTGGTCCCTCAATGCAGTATAATGTTGGAAAATAATATTGGTAAACATAGGTATAGGTCATCTTTACAAGTTTAAATTATATTTTAATGTTGCCTAAATGACTCTTGAAACCAGAGAGGTATTGAGAGGTATACCAAAATGTATTGATGTACATAACTTACACATACTCACAGGCATAGCACTTGTCTTATCAAAACTGTTCCATCTCATTCTTCTCATTCATTATCAACAGAGTTTATCAACCCTTACTCTGAACCACTAGGCACATCCCACAATTTATACATTTAATTGTTTAAACTATTTTGAAAAATATGTTTATTATAATTTTAGATTTTTGTTCAAGAGATTTCCTTTTCCTGTGTCTTTTACATACACCAATTGCTTCTGGTTTTCTTGAACCTGATAGGATTTTCCATTTGAAAAATACAGGATCAATCAAAAAAATCAGAAGAGATTTTCCTTCTTCTTTGTTTAACAGGCCAATATGAAAAATAATATCCATACACAGTGGGATTCATTTCTTGTAGCTGCAAGAAAACTACCAGACCAGTAGTGTTGTAAGTGTTGAGTGGTGCTGTAAGTATTTTACACATTAATTTACATTTCTGCTTGATACTTTTATGTGATGAGTCAACATATTTATCAACAGAGAAAAACTTCCCCCCAGACCAGCAGGCCAGCGATCTGAACCAGAAGCCACAAATGTAAGCTGATTATATATATATAAACAATCCCATATAGTATAGTGCACTAAACTTTTGTATGCTCCATTTACAAATTACTTAATTGAGCAGTAAATGTAATAATTATTTAATACTTGGTTGCATTTACAGATCTTTTTTAAAACATTTTTATATAAAAAAAAAAGAGCCATCTGTTCTGCTTTCATTGAGGTAGACTTTTCTTAGACTTACATGATTTAAAGTACAGGTAGGATGGGAATTTAAGATCCTTAAATAAGTTTTTGTAAAAAATTCTGTATACAGCACCAGGTACTTATCTCTTTAACAACTCAGTAGCATTGAAGTTGAAGGCAGAGAATGTTGCTTGTTATATGCTTACTGTTGGCTAAGGGACTCTTTGCAACAAACAATAATAATGATACCAGACTGTAGGATGTCAGTATAAAATATAGACTATATTTGAGTATTTGGGATTCAGAGAAATCAAAACTGGTCGTCCAGTTAATGAGGGTTATTGAAACTCTTCTCCTCCCACAAGACAGAACATGTCTTTGTACAGTGTCTTAATGTTTTAAATAATTCGGTTACAGAACAATCATTAGTCATACTGATTTTTATAACTTTAAATAAGCATTTGGAATGAATGGTTGTTTTTTTGGCATAAAAGCACTGATGTTTTTTATAATTAAATTTTTTTTTTTTTTTTACAGTTGTTACATAATTTTGGATTTGGTGGCGATAGCAACTTCCAGTTTTCTTTTGGTATTGGTGCTTTTCCCTTTGGAATGTTTGCATCAACTCTGAACTTCAATGATGGAAGACCCGGTCCTCGTAAGTTTTTCTTAAAGAATATGCAAGTTGATTTTGAGTAATTTGAAATGAAAGGGCTAACTCCCCCTTCCTTATATTTATTGAGCTGGATCCATATTTATAATTGGAACTCATTTGCTTGATGAAAATTAAATGATGGGTTTATGCAAACTACATATAATGTTGTATTATGTATATTAGTTTTGATAGGGACAATTAACATCAGGACGGCCAACTTCATTCTGGTTTCTCTTTATCTTTTTAAATATTAACTTTTGAAGCAAACAGATGCTCTGCTCTTAGTGCAGATGTAAAATATTTGTTAGAGTGGGAATTGGAACTGTACTAGCAAAGCTTCCTTTACAGGAGTTACCATAAATTGTGCATAGAAAATTGAGGTTGCCAGTCCTTTAGTTATATAACCTAACAGAACAAACTAAATTAATTCAATCAGAAAATTTTTATGATTTTTAACCCTTTACAGTCCAAACCTATTCAGCCTTGTCTGCTCCCAGCGCCCAAGCAAAGGGACATAACTCCATTTTAAATGAAGGTTCTTTATCTAATTAATTTACAGAAAATAAACTAGAAGCAACAAAATAAAATAAAAACTACCTAAATACAAAGAAATGATTAAAGCAAAAGTTAAACCTAAAAATAGTTTCAGAGACCCTCCCACTCATGAAATAGTGAAGCTTCATTAGGCCTAAGTTCTTTCAAAAGTGTATCCAAGGCTTAGATAGCCATTTTTTACAGCGAAAAAATCGCGACTTTTAAAAAAATCATAGAAAATAAGCCCCTAAACACACCGCGGTCAAACTAGTATCGAAATAAATGCCGACAACGAGGCTTTCTTCCGGTAGAACTATAAATAGTAATGCGCAATGGATTTCCGCTGTGCTAAGAACGAAAGTAAACACCTCGAAACGGGCGGGTTCGGCCGCATCGGACTGTAGGCTTAAGGAAAAAAAAATGCCGACAACGAGGCTTTCTTCCGGTAGAACTATAAATAGTAATGCGCAATGGATTTCCGCTGTGCTAAGAACGAAAGTAAACACCTCGAAACGGGCGGGTTCGGCCGCATCGGACTGTAGGCTTGAGGAAAAAATCGGCGCATTTCGGGCGCATCGGACTGTAAAGGGTTAAAAAGAAAATGATTTCTATTTAATCATATTTTTTTGCTCTTTTCCCTCCATCCAGCACAACCTAATTCACCACAACAAGCAGAAGAGCAGTTTCTCAGCAAAGTGTTTTTGTGGGTAGCCATCATATTTATCTTCTGGCTTCTCATAGCGTGAAAAAAAAAAAAGTCCATCAAAATGTAAATATTTCTTGCCTTGTTGTTTCTTCAGAAACTCAGGGCCCAGACCGTCCCATCAGGGATTCTGGATCCTGTAGTACTGCTCACTAGAAGATACTTATCCATGTTCAAATGTGCTGTCACCAAGCCATTGGCTGTTTGGTCAGTAAAGAGTTGTCAGGAGATAATTTTGTTCAGTAGACATTGGTGCTGTTGGTGTAGGATTATCAGTGATGATTCCCTAAACTCCTAGTAAATCTGAAAGTTAGGCTATGTCTTTTGTATTTGAAAATGCATTGTTAAGAGTGTTTAAAAACATAGTTTACAGAAATAGCCATTTTAAAAAGATATGTCAAAGACTGAAGAAAAAGGGGGGGGGGGGGGTTTGCATAGTTTTCAACAGCTCAGTTTATATAAAGTATTAAGTCCAAATTTGGCCATTCTAGTTTAATTTTCTCCTGCCTTAAAATCTCATTACATTTTTAACAAATGCTGATGAGATAGTCTTTACTAGATTGTCATTTTAAAAAAATTCTCCCGCTGTAAATATAACATTACCATTTGTTGATGTTATTCATCAATCTATATTCACCATCTTCAATGCCTGGGCTGGATTTGTGTAGTGGCTTCTAAGTTCACTGGATCAGATTAAGTATAACATTATATATTTTTTCTTTCCTTTTTTTTCTTGGTATATACAGTTGTTTCCATTTTAATTTGAATATTTTGAGGATTTTTCACTAACCTGGTTAAATCTAATCAATCATTTTCTGTAAATATATTATATCATATTTCATCATGGCATTGTAGAAACGTTATTTTGGTAGACATTATAATATAAACAAGATTTTAAGCATTTAAATCAAATATTTAATGTTTGTGTATTGTGAGATAATGGCCATATTCTTACATAAATAATTTCTAATACAGAAATATTGACATCGCACTGCAAGTAAATTCTAAAGTTTAAGAAATTCACATAAAATTGATCTCAGCTTCAATTTGAATGCATCCACCTGTCATTTTTGTTGTTTTTATTTGTGCACACAAAAAAAGTAATTACATTTTCTTTATTAAAAAAAATCTGGTTCATTCAGTTTTTAATTTTTTTTTTTATTTGGAGAGATTTTTTGCACTTTTAAAAAAATACATTTTTTTCCACCGCAACCATAAAAAAGTCACTTTCCAGAGAACAAAATGGTGATTTTCAAACTGAGTGCATATCATGACAGTAAAAAGTGTGTCAAACTTGCAACACTAGTGATCCATTCAACTTACAAGACATGGTTTTATAAATAATGTTCTATCATAATGTATGTGGTTTCCATTGGGGGTGGTGGGGGTTGATCCAATATGTTGTGAACAGTATCTTTGTTCTGTGATACGATTTTGTAAGGTATGATACATTTATTTTGATGTGTGACTGTGTGACAAATTTCTGACTGCTTTGAAGAAGAGCATTTTTGTTTTATGAAATCTTAAAAAAAATTTTTTAAATGTTACTCTTGATCCCCCACTGAAAAATGTTTATAATAAACTTAACTCAAAGTTTATAATAACAAATATTTGATGTAAGTAGATAATATAATGGGAAATTTATATTTAGTGGCTTAAGATTAATTACAAAATTTAATATCTGACAGTAAATTTGTAAGATTTTTAGCTTTAAATGCTATTTACTTGTCAGCCAAAGGTGCAATACCAACTCGGATAAGTAAGGTGGGCTTTCCCCTGGTTAAATTTAAACAATTTTTTTTGTATGCCTTAACCCTCTTTTTATATAATTTATTATCAAAGTAAATTACATATTATTTTTATTGCATATATATCACACCCTGCAAATGTTATATGAATATTTTCACATCTTCATAAATAAAGTTATATCTTCAACCACAATATATATTTATTAAAATATTATTAGAAATAATTGCTCAGTATTTTGCATTGAATTGTAAAGTCTAAATTCTAACTTTTGAAAAGAGTTTGAATGTTTTTCCTGAATAGACAAAGATTATATTATTATTAGATATTTCTACTGTGCAGAATTTTATCCTTAGTGTTTTCTTTTTTTGTTATTTTAGGAGTCTATTGTTTGTGTTCTTTGCTGATATATTGCCTTAAAAGAAATAAAAAATCCTTCTATGTGTGGTTCTGTGGTGTTATTATTTTAAAATCACTTTTATTTGACATGTACATTTACTCTAGGAGATTATGTACCATGTGAAAGTCACCTAATCAGAGTTTTTTTGTGTGTGTGCATATTTTTAGACTTAACTTAATGGATTCTTTTTAGACCAGAGTTTCTTAAATGAGGTATTATAATTGATTTGGGTTTCTTTAGAAAATAATAATTTTGCTTAACAAAAGCATTGGTTTAAGTGAGACAAGCTGAACTTTCACTTTCATTATAGACCTACATTGTTAAAACAAAAGAAAGGCTTTGTGTATCATCCCATGAAATGAAATTCCCAGTACAAAATTCAAATTAGTATTTTTTTTGACCAAGTTCAGTACAGCCATGTGGTGTAGAGAATAAAATACAGCAGTTTTGTAATGTTGTGCAATGAGGTCAAAATTTGATTTAAAAATTCTTTCCCCCACCATTTATGTCATTGCCTTGCTGATGCTTATTTAAGCTTTGAAAACGTTGGCGGAATATATATATATATATATATATATATATATATATACATTTCATATCCTGTTTGTAGATCTTTTGGAAAAAAATAAATTTTAAACTTTTGAGTAGTTGTTACAAGCTTTAGTTTAAATCATGTTCAAACGATGACTATCATTAATTTGCACTAACATAGCAAACCTTCTTTTGGGAGTAACAGCTTTCTTCAATCAACCTTTTGAAACTTGTTTGAATTTATTATTCTAGTTGTGAGGCAACAACATGGAATACTATACTCATTGAAATAATTTTTTAAATTGGTTGATTTTAAGTATTATCTAAAAATTTGATGGCTGTTAATCTTTAATTTTTTTTCAGTGGGATATGATGCTTTACCTTGGGAAATGAATTGTTGCTCATAAGAATAAAGAATTTATATGTATGTGTGTGTATATATATATATATATATATATATATATATTATCCTTTTAAACATTGGATTATAATGCAAACAAAAATAGTATTCCTTGAATTAGTATGATTTATTTCCTCATGGCATAAGCAAAGTATAATTTGTGATTAGACTTATTAATGAAGATTATTTTAAAACTGATGATTTTTTTTTCCCCCCAGTTTTGTAGGTGGCTAATTAAAACTGATATGGTTTTTGGCATTGCCATTGGTTTTATTTATTTTTCTTGATCAGTTCATTACTGTAGCCTGGCCTTTCTTAGCTACAATTGGTATATCATCATCTTTTGTTATTTTTTGTTTGTACAACTAAATGTCTTCACAGGAAAGGAAAATAAAGGTGAAGGTGAAATCTATTATAAGTTGACACACATTTATTTATAAGTACCGTACCTGCCATTTGTTATTTAATTTAATGCAACCATCTGAAAATACTGTAATTAAAATAACTGTAATTAATTAGTATGCTGACTTTGGACGTGTATGGTGAATGTTTTAATTTCAAACTATAAAAAAAATATTTAAAATCATAATGTTAAACATCAATTTTGTATAAATTTGATTCTTAATGATATTCAAATCTACAGCCAATTAAACTGACAATAATTTAATCAGTGTCTTTTTTCTCATTATTTACTCATTTGAGTGGTTTATTAAAGAAGAGTCTTCTTTGTTGATAATTGTCAGCTGAGCCATCACAATTGACTGTTTAATTAGATTTTTCATACTGTTAATGATCTCTTTTATTGCTAACTGATGAAGGGTTTCCCAAGCACATCAAATATTGGCAGTATGGTTGACACCACCCTCCCTATCATTTTTTAGTAAAATTATGATCATCATTAACCCCTTTAAGACGTAGCCTTTTTGGACTGTCAGTGCCAAGAAGACAGAGCCCTTTTCACTAGCCCTGATTTTTGCAAAACAATTTGTAAAAACAAAGCTGATTACTTAATAAATAAAAAAAACTTTAAAATTGAAGGGAATTGAATGAACTTAATAGAATCTCTATGAATCAAACTGAAATCTCAACATTTATGCAAATGAGATATCCTGATTTGCATAATTTATGCATTCAATTATTTTATTTACACTATAAAAAACCCCAGTTACACTTGCAGAATTTTGTTAAATTTCACTATTATAGAAGGCTAAATAAGTCCTAACAAACATTTTAATGAGATTCAATGTTGAAAAACTGCATTAACTATTCCTCTGGGGCTACTTATGCCTTCTGGCATATTTCAAGGTCACATATTTTTATGCATTTATAGTGGTCAGGACGTAAAAAAAAAAAATTGATATAAAATGAGGAACACCGTAAACTATCAATGGAAACTGCCATTAAAATGGTGAGATGAGCAAGAAATACGAGAAGAAACTGATTAGCTGTTACAAAGACAATTAGGCTGATGGATCGCCTTTGGTCTTTTACGCTATTCGACTCTGGGCGGATAGATTGGCCAAGCCATTTCAAGAGGTTTAATGGAGGCAGTGATAAAAAGTTTTAAATTTTCAAGATTAGTGACATGGTTCTTGGATATTTTGGATTTACTATATACAAATAGTATGGTCTGAGATTTCATTTAACTGTTTTAGCCTTAATATACGACTCCCATGTTTCTTAATATCCTGGAGCAACAAAATTAAGTTTAAAATACATCAGTGTAAAAAAAAATTAATAACACCAATAACAGAAAACAACAACTTGGGAAGTGTATTCCAATGGCAGTGTAACATCAACACCCCCCCCCCCCCCACCCCCCCCCCACCCCTTCTCTGTTATACTATGAAAAATGAAAACGCAAAATTGTGATTTTTATTAACATTTTTTTTTCATGGTGTGCAGCATTTTACAAATGAATGTAGTTAATAGTTTTGTACAAAGTATTTGACAGCTTCACGAGGGGAAATTATTTCAATAAAACAATTATATTTACACATCACCATGAGCTAAAGCTCCCAAAACTGTAGGATGCACTTTTCTTCTTTTTAGCTTCCGCTCCTGAGTCATCCTCTGTGTTGGCTGTTGCAGCTCTTTTCCTACAAAACAGCAATATGCTTGATATTACTAGCGCGCTAGAGAGATTACAATTTAAACAATGTTTAACTATTAAAAGAAGTAATTGTATTGTTCTTGAGTTTTTTAAATTTAAATATTTAATTTCCAATGCAGTGATTTTATTTGTTTACAAATGAGTAAATACAATTGGAGACTTTTTTAAAATAAATTATTGCCAACACTTTGATATTCAGTATGTGTAAAAACGATTTACCAAAAATTTCTCTGCAACTATTTGATTTGCTTATCAGGTGTTAACTTTTCAAAATTAAGGTATACATGCTTGAAACAAACATCAGGCATGGTTATAAGTTATACTGATTAACTCATACCTCAATTGATGATTGAATGTAAGGTATGAATAAGATAAACTATAACACTACCATCAAATTTCAACTCAATTGAAAATATTTTTAAGGTTTTTCAGCTATGTAAATGTAAGGTGTGAGGAAATATTTCAAAGAAATGCAATATTAACTATGATACCATTAAAAGGGATCAGTTAATCATGACTTAATGCCATCAGGAGAAACTCCCAAAAGTGCACTTTTAAGACACCTAGCATTTAAATGCTGGTAATGATCCTGGAGTGTGCCACCTGGGACAGTCACCCCCTCCCTACCCCACATGAGAGCTTTATACTTACATAGCTGTTGTACTTATGTATTTCCCTACTCCTGGCTTGTAAATTTTCATAGCACCATCTTCTTTACTTTTTTTCTTTTTTCGCTCTTCTTCTGTTTTTTTCTTCTGTTTGTCCACCTCTTCTTCACGCTCCTTTTTTAACTAGAAAAAAAAAACAATAAAAAAAAAAATTTAAATAGATATTTATGATTTGTGAGAACAAAAAAAATATTACAAACTGTTTATGTACAATGACTGATTCCAGTTGATTGAGAATATCAAATAAAATACTGTACTTATAGATTTAAAAAACACTATATATATCGGCATCCTTCCGTCTCGTGAGACGATGGTGCATCACCCTTGGGTTGGGTTGCATTTTCTCGAGTGGCTGTGCAGTCCTATCCTTGAGTGACAGTCTTTACCACAGTTTTTACACACGAGTTCTGTGCTTCCAAATGTTTTGGCCTTTCTCCTAGCTCTTCTGTCTGCAGCCTCTTCCATTCTTCGCTCCTCGGCTACCATGACGCCCTCTTTGACAACTGTGCGCCACGTAGATCGGTCTTTTGCCTTACACTCCCAGTCACTTGTATGTATTTTGGCTGCTTTCATGTCCCTCTGACAGACATCTTTAAATCGCAGACACTATATTATTATATTAAATGATCAAAATTAAAACAAATTAAAAAATACTGGAATGATAATGTCTATTTTTGTAAAATATGTTATCTTCTTACTTGTTCATCAGCTTCTTCATATGGGTCTGAGAACACAATGCAGTCCTCTATGATTATATCGGTCTAAAAAATTTTAAACAAAAATAAATATAATTTTTAAACTTTAAAAAAATACAGCATTATTTGGCTATAAAATATATGCTACTAAATTTGTCGTAAAGAGGTTATTGAATAGTTAAATTTTTTACCTTGCCTTGTAAAATTTTAGGGGCTCAGACTCAGGTAAAATATTAATATTAATATCAAATATGTTTAGATTGCATCACTCATTTTTTTTTAGTCCATAAAAATAAATGACAATAATAAACCACATTCAATCCGGCCCATTCTCAAAATGCGCCAGACTTAGAGCTGAGGTGTTTCAAACCAAAAATTGAAGGAAATAATTTAAATATTTTTTATTTAAAAAGGGTGGGGGAACATTTTAAAAATTCATTCAATTGATTGCCAGGTTTTGGGTAGCTATTATTTCAGCAGACTGATTAGGAAAAGTAAATATAAAAACTAGATATATAATACTAATACTCTCAACATACCCCACCCCTTTTTGCTAGAGCCCCTGATAATGAGACGGTGGGAAGGTCTCCGGTGTTTTCGGTAACCCTAGTAAATCCAACCGAATAGGCCGCAATCCCTGTAATTGTACCGTTTTTTTTTAATGGACATGAATTTCATCCAACCCGTCAGTAAAATGTGAATAATATTGAACAAGAAATATCGATAAGACTTACATTTTTAAAATTTTATTTTAAACTACAATAATTCAAACAAAGACAGATTAGTGTATTCATGTAAAGTATTTAACCAGTTGAATTATTTTAAATGAAAAACAAAAGTATAATCTGTAAAAATAAAAATTCGTTAAAAAAGTTATAGTTTTGTAACATAAAAGGCGTGCGTTACGATACTTTACAATTTATATTCAGTCAGAGGTTTATGTAATATCTCTGTAAATGTTATAAACACCTAGATTAAAAAAAAAGTATTTGATCAACTGTTAGGATTACACATGATTTTTATTGCTTTTAAAAATAATAATGTTATGAATGTAGTTTTGTGAAGGCTACTACTAACTACTACTTGTTGAAAGTTTTCTTCTTCATCTATATTCTATATCTTAAGTCTTAAGGAGTCTTAAGGGACCACGATCAATTCGTATCGACATCGTGAGAGGTACCGGTAGGCTAATAACTAATAACTAATAATGAATTATGTTAAGGACGGCTGCCACAACGTCTTTTATAGTTGCAGTGAATTAGGGGTTAGGTTAGGCATAGACTTAGGTAGGAAGCATTACATCAAATTCAAATGGCCATGCCATTTAAAATATATAAATTATTATTATAAAAAGTTTAAAAAGGTTTTGTCAATTTTAATAAAAAAAATCAGACCACTACCAGTGTGTGAGTGTGTGTGTTGTACCCATATAAATATAATGCCATATATGATATAAAAAAAGGAGAACGTTAGCAATACTTTTTGTTCTGGATGTATCATTAGTCATAATGAATGTATGAATTATTCGAAAATGACATAGGCCTATACTGTAGTCTATAGTATATTTATATATATAAATATAATAATAATTATTATTAATATAATTTCATCATGTTGGCCTATGCATTATCACAGTTTATATTATTTCTCCCCTGAGGATTATAATTCAGTCTTACTTTAAGAAATTCACATTTTATAAAGATTTTGCTTAACTTGAGTTAATTTACAGTTCATACTATACTGTTTTTTTTTAAAATTTCAGATAACTCATTAATTCTCAAGAAACAAAAATGACTGAGGCTAAAAGAAATTTATTAACCTCAATAAGGAAAGAAGCTACAGGTTCAAAAGAAAAGGAAGCAGAATCTTCTCTTACAATTACAGTTGGTGAAGCATCCAATTTTAAATCAGAATTCCCAAAAATTGAACTCTTGGTTGAATTTGGCACTTTCTTAGAATTAAGAGATGCTCTTGACAAGTACCAGAGAGAAAATTTTGTGCAACTGATTGTAAAAGATTCAAAACTTTTGAAAGCGGAATCGACTCGGAAGGTTGGGAAACTATAATTACAATTATATACATGTTTTAGATTAATATGGCCAATGCAAAATACTACATTAATTCCTGCACTAACTAGATATCATCCATCCTCTTCTGTATAAATTCAGTTTTAATATTTTTAAAGCTGCTCTTATTCTAATCATTGAAATGTCATTTAATTGAATACTTAATAATACTGGTTACTCACCCTCAGATAAACTTCAATAATAATTTAGTCAAGCACTACTTTTAGAAAGAATGTTGAATAAGAAATTGATATTTTTATTTTGCATTCATTTAAAACAAATTATAAATAAGTTTTATTATAGTGTTTGCCTTGCATTATCACAATTCACTTTTTCAGGTTATTCCCAAAGTTTATCATTTAGTGAACCAGAGCTTGATGTATCATTCTATCACCTATTGCTGCAAGTGTCATGGGGAACTTAAGCAAAAACCCACTGGTAGAATCAAGAATGTAGGGTTAGTAGTAAAATTTGAAAATATAGTTATTGTAACAGTATGACTTTGAACATGCTTATAATTTAAAAAATTTACCGTACCGGTATATAAATGCATATAATTTGTGTTCACTGTTTTATTACTAGCAGAGCTTAGTTTGGACCTCATCACACTTTAGTTTAACTCTAATTGTGGCTAATTTTTAATTTTTACAGCATTAAAATGAAGGTATTGTTTTAAATTATCTCATTGATGCTTTAAATGAGAGGTCAACTATGCCTAAGATTTATTTTAACTTAACTAATATATTTATTATCATCCGTAGTCAGAAGCGCCTAAACTGCCCCATGTATATTCGATTCAAGCTCACCCCTGACCTCCAGAAGCTTGTCTTATTTGACATGGATGAGACACACAACCATGACATTGATCGGACAACCTTCCAGATGACCCCTCGTCAGCAACTATACAGAATCTCTAGATTGAAGCGCAAACTTGAAGATGGTGTGGATGACGATGATGAGCAAAATGACACACCATTGATTAATGTAAACAAAAATGGTATGTCAGCTGTTCTTATAGATCAATTCATTGTTTTTCCCCTGCTTGTAGTCAACCCATTAGACTTAAGACATATTTTGATACCTAAGGCATAGACTCATAACCTCTGCAAAAATTACGGGTGCAACAAGGGAAGGAGGAAAAAAGCAGGTAGTAATATAGTATATGATGGCCATAATTAATATGATTTATCTCTTTAAAAAAAAAATTCTCACAGTGCTATGTTTACTAACTTTAGAAGCTTGTACAGTACACATTACAGCAACGTTTTTAATGTTTATCTATTCAATTAGTGACGCAAATTTAAAACAACAAACAAATCATTAAATTCTTACGTTTTTCTTTTCAGATTGTACTATACTGTACTTAAAATTTAAATTGTTCCATTTTAAAAGAAAAAGGAGAATTAAGGTTAAAGCCTTTGATAAATAATTATTGGTTTGTAGCACCCAATAAACTGTCTAAAGTTTAAAAGTAGAAAGCCATTTTGAAGGTAAAACGTTTGCCATGAGACCCCGGATGAATTCCGATATAATGCTGTTGTGGCCTGTATATTCATCCGCAAATGAAAAAAAAAAAGTACCATACAACAAATATATATTCACGAGGTTAAAAAATCTTTAAAAAAAAAAAAAATCCCCTATTTCCTACTTTTTAAAAAACCCAACGCTTTTTTCACAGAATTTTGCAAAATCGTTATCAAAGCGATCGAAATGTTAAGGAACCAAATATCTTGCAATTACAGGGTTTCACTGTATTTTAAATAGATATTTTTTTTAGAATCCCATGTGTAAGAGCTGCATCCCTTTAGTTTGAAATTAGAAGGTTGTTGCTGCTTTAAGGTAATTTATTTTTTAAGAGTTTTTTATTTCTTATTCAATATTTTGTCTAACAGTTGTCCTCTTCTTCCTATTTTTAGAGAAACGTTTGTCAGTATCACATCTTAAGCAAAAGCCACCTAAGAAATCTCAAAAGAAGGTCCCAAAAGATGTTGGAAATGAAAATGAGAACAATGTTGATGATGAAGAATTGGACGATAATCATGTTAATGACTCTGTGAGTGATGAGGATGAAAATTCTACGAAAGAAGAACACAGTCAGCCTGAATCCCCACTTGATTCAGAATCAACTTGTTCAGACTCTGATGATGATGAATTTCGTAAAAAGCGTCAGCTTCTACCATTTCCACTAAGACTTGTAGGTTCAGCAATACAAAGTTCTCCAGAATTGCTCATGGCTACAAAGGAATTGATAGAAATTCAGAAATCGAAATTGCTCCTTGAAAAGCAAAAACTGATTCTCGAGACAAAACATCTGGAACTTGCAAATTTAAAATTGGAACTTGAAGTTCGGAAAATGGAGAAAAATTTTGCAGCTGATATTTCAGGATCAGGGCATGGTCGTGACACAACAATTTTTCTACAAGCTAACTAAGTGAAATATAAATGTGTAAATAAGCAGAATGTGATGATCATAATGTAAAGAAAGATTTTAAAATGTATATTTTTCTGTTACCATCGCTTGATAGTCAGTAAGGATTAGTTTACTTTTTAGTGCAATCAATATTGCACAATTATATTACCTTGCCATCTACCAAAACAACCAATTTCTTCAATTTGATTGATTAAAAAAATAATTGTTGATTGTTGTCGTAATTCAGTGCAACTGCTACTAAACCTACTGTATAAATAACTGATGGTTGGCAATGGTAAAATAAGAGTATTCATGTTTCAAATCCTGTTTAATAATGTGCTAACTCACTCATGCCATCCTACTATCATTGATAATCATTGCCAGCAACCTAAATATTTAGGTAGTGATTGTTAAGTGTTTTTTGTTACTTTCCTTTTTAGCGAAGTATTCTGATGAGGCTAAACGCTAATTAAAAAATTCTATTGCCAAAACCTGCACTTTATTCAGGGTGCAGGCTTAATCCAACTTGGTTAAAATAATGGGGTAAGATTTTGTTTCCACTGTTCTTGCTAATGACTATTGTTTTTGTTATGTTGCATTATGTAAACTTTAATCCCTTTTTTTAGAGATGAAGTTAAAAATTTAAAAATGATAAAAAAGAAAATATTCTGCATTTCTTCAAATTTACTTATTTAATTTTTTTTTGTCTACATAAAAATCTCCAGACAAATGTGAGCTCAGTGTTTGTTCCTTTTTTGTTGTATTCCCCCACCAAATACTGCCTCTAAATCTTATTTAAAATGTGACTAAAAATTACGGTATAGGTTTAGATGCTGTAACTGATTTACCATTTGCATTAATGATAAAGCCAGTACCAATAAATTGGGAGGGGCTGGGTATCACGTTTTTAACAACTTTTTATTAACTTAATGTTGTCTATGTCTAGTTTTCAAGGGTATTTTACTCTTAGTTACGGAATGCTTGAGATATGAAATTAGGGTACCCGGTACAGCTTTGTACAGGGCCTTTAGATTTAATCTTAATTTACCGTATGCAATTTAAATTTACTTTTAGTTGAAAGGGGAGTGGTATATTAGGCCATAAATTCCTTCTTAACACTGGCAGGAGAAGCCAAGGACTTTTTCCTATACATCGAGGGGCTGACTGCAGAGCTTTTTTGTGGGTGGTAATGGCAAAACTCGTGGTCAGCCCTGGATGGCACTAACCCTAGCTACTGCTTAACAACAGTGCATCTGTGTGTAGAAAACAAATCCTGACTTTTCATCTTAATTTGTACACAAAGCTTTATTATTTTTTGCTATATACAGTTCAATACTACTATAAATCAGGTTGGTTGGGGGAAAAAGGGGGGCGGGGGTTCCAGCATTCCAAATTGTTTGAAATTCATCATTTATATTTTTTCAAAACAATTTGTGTAGGCCTATACTGTTTTGGTAGGAGATCGCCTAAATTCAGGCTTTGCCCTGGGCGCAGCTTTGCTTTCCACACCCTGCTACAAAAAAATTTTGTGATTCAAATAATAGTATGTAGAGAAAAAACCCAGGGCATGATAATAATAGCAAAAAGTGCTGCTAAATTCTACCTAAATTAAATTTATACTATAATTATTTTTGGCTAATGTCAATGTGAAAAGATAGCACCCTGACGTCATTTGCGAGTTTTGTCCCTGGTTCCGATAGGGTCAAAACCCAGGTAAGGGATAAGTTTAGGATTCAGGTTAGGTTTAGGGATAAATTTAGGACATAAGTCATAAGTTTATATTTTACATCAAAATGAACTGAGTTTTGTTTAAAAAAATTTAAGTAGGGAATAAAGTTACAGTTACAGGGAACATATATTATATTCTCAGTAACAAAGCATGATATTTTATTAAAATAAAAAAAAATTGAAACTATTTATAATATTGCAACAGTTTCTTTAATGCTTAAATATCTACGACATTTCAGTTTACAACCATTATCTAAAAATGAAAAGCTTAAAAAAAAAATAATAAAAGAGCGAAACTTAGCGAGTGTCATCACAATTTTTAAAAATAAATTAAGCGTTATCTCCCCCCTCGCAAAACTTCCGACATTTTCCGTGATTCCTGGCCCAAGAAGTTTGTCTCTAAAGAAATTTTGAACATATCGTCTTAAATGTCAATAAATTTAGGTATGCTACATTGTTTTTGCTAATATCGGTTACGTTCAGGTGATCTTTTGAAAATTAGCTTTCCCCATTTAAAAAGAAGATTGAGCACTAAATACGATTTTACGTTTACTGATCTATAAATAGAACAAGATCTCCAGCACCGTATGAAGTCAACAGAGACCGAAGCTGTCCCGAATGTTACCGTAGCAAAATAGCTATGTCGATTATTTTTAAATTGTAAAATGTATTTTTTGAAAAAATCTTTGTAAAGAAAAAAAAAATAATTAAATCATCCTTAGCCTTAAATACATTAGCCTTTCAAAAGTTTCCTATAAATTTTTAACATTTTGGTCATTGCCACTGTTTATTTAATTTCAAACAATGAAAGTATGAATTAATTAAATGAATTTGAATTATTTGAATTATTAATTAGCTTAAATTAAATAGTTAATAATAGGTTTAATAAATGAAATTTTAGGCTTAGGCAATGTCATATTTATTTATGTCAATAATTAAATGTGCATATCAATTGTCAATGGCAATCCTGTAAGACTTAAGTTTATAGGCGGATATTATAGGCATAGGACCCTGCCTTCTAACCATTATATTTTTTGTTGAAATATAAATATAAATAATATAATGCATGCGCTGATGTCACCTACGCTGATATCACCTATGTGCTTTACTTAGGTTTAAGTTTAGGCTGAGGCTTTACGTAATAACTAAATGACTAAATACTCATTATTATATAATACAAAGGTAGTGATTGTTTGTTCAGCAAATTATTATTACTAAAACAATGTAAAAAAATCAATTAATATATTTCATCATAATTCTCTTTAGAATTGGTTGTCTTTCAGGTACAATAAAGTAAACATTTTCAAAAATGCCTGAAATTGTACTAGGTGAAAAGTTTCCCTCATTTGAGAGTTTGAAAGATGCAATTGATCGCTACCAACGAGCAAATAATGTCCAGCTGATAGTAAAAGATTCAAAACTGCTTGGGAGAATAGCTAAAACAATGCCTAAACTAATGGATGTGGTTAACAAGGAAATTATTTACTATCGTCTATCTTATGCTTGCGAGTACCATGGAGAATATCGGTCTAAAGGAAAAGTCAAACCTAATCATGTGTAAGATATTTACAGTTAATATATAAGTTTATTTATGTGAATTTATGAGCATTCATAGCATATTATTAAGACCAAAAAAACAGTACATACTGCATATTGGATTACAAAATAAAAAAAAAGGTTTCAGTTATCTGTTTGATTTCCAAGTTTTTAATTTCAGGGTTAGCAAGAATGTTGAAATAACTTACTCTGTTTTAAAGTTCTATAAAAAGAATTCAATAAAATTATTTATACCACAGTTGGACCACACACATGATTTATAATCACTTACACCTTTACAAATTTTAACATCTAGATCAAAACGAAGAGGTTGCCCAATGCGAATTCTTCTAAGACTTGCTGAGGATTTGCACAATCTTGTTGTTTATGAATTATTTGACCAGCACAATCATGACTTAGAGCCGCGTGAGGAGACAAAAACCCCAAAGCAGCAAATGTTTAGAATGTCTCGAGTAAACTCAACACGCTACATGCTCACTAAGATGGAGGAAGGAGAGGGAGGACAAATGGTTGACACAGAAAGTAAGCTTGAAACAAAAAAATTGGATTTGGTTTGCAATAAAAAAGGATTGAATATTAAAAAAAAAATTAAAAAATTATCATTTATTCTATCAGGGACTATCCATAAATGAGGTCACCCATCGGGAGATGGGGTGTCACATTTGGGTGACCATGCATGATGAGAAGGTGTTTAAGCAATGTGACCTCACATAGAAAGCAGAACTAAAAAAGAACAACTTTTACTGAATAACTAATTTTTACCATTATAAATGAATTTATACACCAATTTACATGATTAAATTTTCATTCTTTAATTTAGTGAATGTTTGATTTTGACTGATTGTATTTGATGCAATATATTCAATTTTAAAATCTGATCACCACGATTATTACTGAGCTTATAACTACTGCCGAGCACTGGTATACAGGATGCGAGGTGTCATTGAAAGTCATGATAAATTATGTAAAAAAAAAAAGTAGAGGACAGAATTCTGGGTATTATGAGTGTGTGAAGTGGGATGGGAAGAAAAATAGTTGACATGGAAAAATTATTTTAGGAAATGTTCTTGGGAGAATGTTGATTGGCCATAGGTTTGTGGCATAATATTTTGAAGGGGAGGGTTTGAACTTTTTGTAAGGATGGAGAAGGGGATAAAAATTGACCCAAAGAGAGTGATTTCATTTATGCCTTTTATATTTTATCCATTTAAGGTTTAACTTGCATAAGTTTGCTCATCATCAAATATTTAAAAAATAGAGAATATTTCTACTTACAGAAGTAGAAATTTAATTCTGAAGCATTTATTTATTTGTTTTTTTGTGTGAAGGAATCTTAATATATACTGGGTCATTCATTAATAACATTTTGTATGCAGTTACTAAAATATTTATAAAATAAATGGTTGTAACCTTTTAATTTTATTTTTTCCAATGAATAGCAAGCATTGGTAATCAGATCTTTGATGAAGAGGATGATGGACAGGGTAATGATGATGGAGGTGGAAACTCAACAGGTGCATCAACATTCCCCCTGCCAAGATTAATTGGTAATGGCACAAAAAGATTACTAACTGCCAGTGAAATGAAATCTAGTGATGCATACCAAGAACTTAAACGGCGAAAGCTTTTACTTGAAAACCGAAAACTTGAACTTGAAGCCAGAAAGTTAGAATTAGAAAACAAAAAACTTGAACTTGAGCTTAAATTACTTGAAAAAAGACAGGAGGATGGAGATCAAAATGTTGGTGGAAACACATATTATGTATCTCATGTTATTGATGATAAAGATGGTATTACAGATGGAGGGGGTGCTTTTTCATCTTCAGCAGCAGAAGTTATCAAATCTCTCACAGGGCGAGGCCAGCCATTTCAGATCATCACACAATGAGAGAGTAGCGGAAAGCTTTCTTAATGTAAGATTATTCTGTAAATATTGCAACTGTTGTTTATTAAATCACACATGTCCAAATAAATGGTATTATAGTGATGATGCCCACAACTTAGAGGAAAGGCATGAGAGACTGGGCTAACATAAGGGTGTAACCATGTAAGAATTTAAATATCTTTTAGACTGCAAAGTCTATGCTACAACTCTAATGCTGGCACAAAATGTGATGCTGTAATCTATTCTACCAATAAATTTAAAAAGTTGTTGAGAAAATTAGCATCTTTCAATACATCTATTACTCAACTGCCAATAATTTGCACCATGTTTAAAACTGTATTTAAGATGAATAAATACTACATGCATTAATAATTGCTTTTAAGTTACCTTGTACATAATATTACTAATATTTTGTAATAAAAAAGATTTCCATTGAGGTGCTTTTTTATAATTTTTTTTTTTTATTAAAAATTTTAATTGTTAATAACTCTATGTACAATACTTATACTAATAAACTCAAACGATGTAGCCTATGTATTTATAAATTACTATTATTTTGTAAAAAATTAGGGTCTCAAAGCAGTTATACAGGTAACTGTTATATATTTTTTAAAAGCAAAAGTTTGTTTCCAAACCTACTTTTAAAAAGTTTGGAAAACTAAGTGAACTATGTTAAGGAAAGTCTGGAAAGCAAACCTTTATTTTAGGAAATGAGGTGATAATGAATTTCTTCATTTTTAACAGTAAATACTGCCTTGACAATGGTTAATATCCTTTAATAAAAACCAGTGCCCTCATTAAGACAAAAATTACTTTTCAAAATTTTGGAGAACAAACCAACTTATTTTACAACAAAAATGTGCAGTGAAGATCAGATTACAAGAAAATTTTCCACCACATAAAGATCACTTGTACCAGTCCTTTAACAGTGACACAAACAACAAATACAAGTTACAAGCAAACTGAAAATGTGGAGAACATGTTGGGTACCAGCATTCGGACATAAACATAACGTTTAATTGATTGTGACACACCTAACACTAACCCCCATTATGTGTATAGTTTAGGTGGGAAAATTTTTTTCAGAAAAACTAATGAGCATTTCATTAACTTGGCAACTACCAATATGTGATATGACTGCTGGTTTAATCTTTTCACATATATTATATTATTTTCTTCTATATTCATAAAAGATTAGCATGGACAGTGACCATCTTCTTGACTATTATTCAGGCCCGTTCTTAGGCATACGCTGACTACACATCCGCGTAGGGCCCCGAACGTGATGGGGCCCCCGTGAGGCACCCTTGATCCCACGTTTTTTTTTTTTAATTGGCACTACTGCAGTCTGCGGTGGTGGGTGGTTTTTCTCCTCAGCTCGAGGGAGCTCCACCCCCGGACCCCCCCCCCCTTCCGGGGCCCCCAACCTACGCTCCATGCTTAGGCCCCCAAAACTCCTAAGAACGGCTCTGTATTATTAGAGCCGATTAAAAAAGGCAGCAATTGAAATTACTTTTTGTTATCAAAATTTCCAGAATACGGCAAAATTAAATACAAAAAAGGTAATTCTCAGAACTGATGAAGAAATAACATAGTTCTGTCACTACCAGACAATTTGTGTGACACATGTCAAGGTCATGAAATCAGATGTAGTGTGTGTGTGTTTTGAATTTGTGACAAATGAGGTTAGTGAGTGAGGGTGAACGCTTTTCATGTCACAAACCAGTGCAAGTTTGAGTGAACGAGGCGTGAGAATGTCCTTGTCGTTAAGGGTTGAGAGGGGAAAATATAGAGGAGCTGTGTCATAGTCACGAGGAGTAGTTGTATTATGTTCACGGACGAGTGTGTGTGTTGCTGAGTCCGACAGACATATTGTGAACTAGTGATTATTGCTGGGTATCTCCGGATTTTTGGAGGTGATGTTGCATGACATGCTATATGTGATAAAGCTAATAGTAAATAGAGTATTATCTTATGGAGTCAGTGCCTTGACTAACAGAGTATAAGTGTCACCATTCAGAGAAACTTAGAGATCCTAATGGTCGTCCGACTATAAGAGTAGAGACATCCTCACAACTCTGAGATCTATAGCTCGTCAACCTTAGACAACAAAATATTTGATATGAGCCAGAATATTTTGACATGGGACCAAATATTTGACAACACAAGTTATAGATGCAATTTAGTGGAAATGTACTCACCTTTGGTTTGTCTTTCTTGTCTACTTCTACTGCCTCCATCAAATCCAATGTTTTCAAACCACCAACAACTCTGCACAAGAAAAATTTATATAACATCAGAAGGAAGAACACGTATCAAAGGAGATTTTTCATGGGGAAAAGGTACATAAAAAATGATGTTTATCATTAAAATTAAATGATTAATGAAATGAACAAAGCATAGAAATTATTTCAAGATAAAGTCTTAAAACTAGTTGATATTTTTTCTAAATCTAAAATTTTGCTACGTTATCAGCGAAATGTGACCACTGCCATTTAATTTAAAAATTGCCAAACTAATTTAATATTCAACATTTACTTTATTGATCCAATGCAACTTACTTTCCAAATACTGCATGCTTTCCATCCAAATGTCGACATGATCTGAAGGTAATGAAACTGAAAAAGGACAAAAAATATATTTACTGGTAATTAACACAAAAATTCACAGGCTCATGCAGAAGTGGTGGGAATGATGTTGCATAGGGGAAAGGGTGTTTTAAGAGAAATATTAAGACTTTTATGCCAATCTCAAATATTTGCTAAAAAATGAACAATGATAATAAAATAATAATATACCATGACTGATGAAAACAACAGTTTAGCAGCATAGCTATTTCATTGTCAGTTACATAAGGAAACAGCCTCAGTAATTTGCATATGTATAGTAAATAAAATCATTCCAGGTATATGTGCAATGCAATTAGTGTTATTGGACTTCAATAGTCGCAGACTCACAAAAGAGGATCTTGATATTCTAGAAAATGATGCAATAATGTACTTCCCCCATCTTTTTTGTTCAGTGTTATAATTTCTAAACTAAATGATCAAATACTTACAATTGTGACTTGTTAGTATTGGGCCCACTGTTAGCCATACTCAAGATTCCACGCCCTGTATGAGTTAAATTTGGCTTCAGCTCATCTTTAAACGGTGCGCCCCATATCGACTGACCTCCTAGAGAAATGAGAGACAAAACGCTTTGAACTATTGTTTCAGCCTTTCCATCTCATATGTTTAAAATAATTAGAATATAATTGGAGCCAAGCTTAGCAAACTGGCATTCTCAATGCACATCTAAAAGAAATAAAGGTGGAATGGAATTTTTTTTTTTAAAAGTGGGGTCAACCAATTTTGCTTCAACCCTTATTAATGAATCACTATTGAACTTGGAGCCCAAGTTAGTTAGATATGTTTACTGTTTTTTGTATTTTCTTATCAATAAGGAAACTGAGGTAAGAATTTGGTTTGTGACCCAATAAAGTGGAAAAAGTGTCTAAGAGGTTACATTTTTGTTTGCAACTCCCCAATTGTGCTTTAAAAAGAAATGTCAGTTTTACCTAAGCCTGTTCCTTCTGGATCACCACCTTGAATCTGGGACAGAATAAAATAGTTTGTTTTAAATTAATAGGTAATGGATGATATTATTGTATTGTAAACTTTTAGCAAAAGAGAAATCAAGCTTATAATTATATTGAGTTTAAAGATAGAAGGAATTTAATTAAATTATGTAAAAATTAACACCCCTAACCTCCTTGTCAATTACAAGGCCACGGTTATGTTTTTAAAATACCTAAATTATTTGGGACTTACCATAAAATTTCGAATAGATCTGTGAAAAATTGTATTCTTGTAGTAACCATTTAGGCAGTGTTTCAGAAAATTTTCACATGTCTTGGGAACCTAAAAGTTGTAAAAAAATTCTTAATTTGGATGACATTTTCACTTAGATCATTAATAGTATAAATCCTGTTAATTTAGGAATAAAGTGTAATCAGAGAAAAACACGGCAAGGATTTATAAAATCTACCTAGATCAAAAATATTGCAAGTAAAATTTCAAATTCAAAAGGCATTAACAGAATACTTGACCCCAAATCCACATAGAAAAAAACCCCAAGGTCACTGCTAAATAAATACCTATGAAAAAAAACTGAAATGTTATGGAAGAGAATTAACATTCAAAATGTAGAGCCAAAATGATACTAATGTTGAACTGCCAGTATACCATTACATTGAATATGAAGCCAGCATACTGTCAAGAATGGGAGTTCACCAATAATTGTTGCGCACTGGATATTGTGTTTGATTATGAGCAGTGTGTTTTTGAGAGAGTACTTAGCTAGTGAACGCTCTTCCCACGTTTTACTTGATGAAGTATTTTTATGGTTATTTTGACAAATTGTCTTGTCTGTTTGTGACGTACGTGTTGATTAATAAGCAGTCGAGGAAAGAGCTTTGTATGAGATTGTTGTGTATTTTTTTACCCAAATAACACAGATGGAGGCCATCAGTTTCCATTTTTTTTTGGATCTCTTCAAGTTTTGCTTTTCTGACATGATGTCAAAGTGATGTGGTCACTGAGTGATGAATGACTGATACAAATATAATATTTCAATAATGAAAAAATTAAATAAATAAAACAAACAACTAAAAGTTAATCACAGAAGACTATTTACCATGTCAGAATGAAGCTCCAAGCTCAATGGACCCAAATTTGTGATGATCCTGACATAGCCTTTCTTTTTCACACGTTCATATCGTAGAACATCTTCATCGATTAGGTCTATTAAATTTTATCAAAAAATTAGGGTGGTAAGTTGCAAATTGAAATGAAAAATGACACAAATTGAAAAAAAGAGTGGATCGCAGTGACTTGCTTACATCATTAGAGACCAAAACTGCTGGAATAGAGTTAATTTTTCCAGCCAACTTTAAAAAAAAGATTGTTCCTACTTTTTAAAAAAAATGTATGAAATTCTTTAAGTTTTAATTTGCACAACTAAGATTTGGTTTTAAAAATCATCTTTATTTAATAATATAAAATTACTTTTGCCTTTCATTTCAAATAATAAAAATAAAACACCTTTAGCTAATTATTATTTTTTCTGTTCAGTGTTTCACAGAAACAAATAGAGATTTGAAGCCAAAAAATTCGAGCAGGCTTTGAAGTTAAAAATTTAATTAAAAAAAAAAGATTGACCTGCTACAAACTCTGTATGTCTATCCATTGCAGTAGATGTAAATGATGCAGCCACTTGGCCAGTAGAGTAATGGGCCTAAAATGAACATACAAACGAACATTGATCATTTGTTTTGTTTTTTTTCTTTTTTAACGTGTACTACCTAAAGGTTAGCTTTGGAATTTATCAAATCTCAAAAATGTGATGTTTTATAGAGCAAACCTTCCTAAAAGAAACTGAACCCATTCATCGGGTAAATGTATGCAAATAATTACTCTATGGACATTAAGTATTTATAATATATTATGGAAAGTTGATAAAAACATAATTTAATGCTACTATAAATAAAATATGTTTTGATATAAACTATAAAATAAAATGGACATTTAAAAAAAATATTACATACCGCATTGAATTTATCAGCTCGTTTCTTGTCTTCCTCTTTTTTTGCCTGAAAGGAAAAAAACCATTTAAGCAGGTTAGATATTTAAAAATTTTGACATTAATAAAAAAATAAATTTTCTGGTTCATCAGACTCAAAGACTTCAGACACTGTGCATTGTTCCAGACTGATCATTTCTTATTCTTCTTCTATATCTTAAGGGCCCACGATCAATTTATTGATCATTTTGGCTCCTATGCATGTAGATGGGATTTGCAATGTTTCTGTTACTGGTGTTGATGAGGAAATCATGCAATAGGGGTTTGAAGGCTTGAGGCAATAGACACAAATGTGTCTAGTGTTGTCGCCTCAACCGTTCCTTTTAAAAGCCTTGTTTACTCCTGACTGATCAGTTGAAACCCTTGTGTAATAAACAAAGGACTGCTTTCAAGCTGTGTGAAGAAATAGCAGAACAAGGTATATGGAAGCTTGAAATAGAAAGACAGGACGAAAAGTTATTTTTCTTTCATCCAGTCTTTCTATTTCAAGCTTCCAAATACCTTGTTCTGTTATGTTGTGCCTCATTAACTTCTGACTGATCAGTGGAAAGTCATTTATGTTGTGCCTTGTTAACTCCTGACTGATCATATGAAAGAGCTGATATTCACGCTAAAAAATCTGATATTAGCCCCTCCATACTTTTGAATGCTTATAAAAAGTCTTAAAAGTAGATTATTGACACAACATAAATTAGCAAAATAGTAACAAACATAACTTAGAGCAAACATTTCTTAAACCCTCTTTTGATGGTTAGGCGGATATCTTGGAAAATGTTGAATGGCAAAAAAAGGCCAAATTAAAGCCTCAAGATTGGCTGGCTGGTCTTCGTAACAACTAATCAGATTGCTTCTTGTATTTCTTGCCCATCTTGCCATTATAATGACTGCTGCCATTGCTATTTTTTCGGTGTTCTGTCATTTTATATCGTCACATATTTTGTAAGCATATTTAGGGGTAACTAGTTACAAAAACAAATTATTGAAATATATAAAAAGGCATAAGGGGAATTTTCATGAAGTTTTTCACATTGCATCTCATTCAAACATGGTTAAGGACTTATTTTGGCTTCAAAAATAGTAAAATTTAACAAAATTCTGCAAGTAAGACGTGATTATTCCAAGTGTAAAACAAAATTGCATGCATAAATTATGCAAATCAGGATATTTCATTTGGATAGTTGAGATTTCAGTTTGATTTATAAATATATTATTAGTTCATTTAATTCCCTACAAAGATGTATATAAAGTAATTGGTTTATTTAAAAACAAAATTTTTTTTTGCAATACGAGTGACAAGCTTTAAAAAGGGCTCCGTCTTCCTGGCACAACACCCCAAAAAGGCTCCATCTCAGAAGGGTTAAATAATGATATATTTGGTGATACAAACATCCGAATGGCATCTGAGCTGCATTTCTAACTTACCAGAAATGGAGATGGCTTGAAGTCTCTATCCAACTCTTCCAATGTAGATTTAGCTTCATTATTGATTGATTTCAAGTTGTATTTGGAATCTTTGAAATCAATGTCATCTAAAGGTAGAATATACAACAAAAATTAAAAAAATTAACTGCTAAATTCCATGCCTTCTAGATTGTGTTCAAATGTTTCCTTTTTAAAACTATTGTCATGATTATTTATTGTAACTATTTATATTTTATTGTGTCCTGTCCTCCCCTCCTCCACCCATCATGAATTGTTCATTGTTAAATTAAGCAGGTGAAAATATGATTTAGTAGGATGAAATGACTTGTTCAACATTTAAGTTACAGATATTCAGATCCTTGTTTCAATATTAAAATATTAAAAAGAAACAGAGCGTAAAATAGAGCTTAAATTATGATTAACTGCATTATTCAAGTTTTACAAATGTTTTTTTTTCTTCTTGAAAATTTATTTAGAAAAAAAAAGGTGGGTACATTTATGCAATAGAGTAAAAGTTGAAATGCTGTTAAAAGGCTCATGGTGAATTAGAAGTACATTAAATTTTTAATGTCCTACCATCATCTGTTATCTTGAGGCTCTTTTTTAAGTGATAAAATGACTGCATGTTGAACTTGTCCAAATTTGTTGGATCCTGAGACAAAGAAAGAGAAAAAAAGTGATTTTGCTTGTGAAATAAATAGTATAGAAAATTTATTTAATTAAAAACCAAAAACAATTGTATATAACTTTTTTTTTTATGTTGGACCCTACCTGAATTGTGATAATGTCTTTACGTGTAAAGGGCTCATCAGTGAGGAGATCCTTCCAGTGAGAAGGTTTGATGTTGAGTCTTTCAACAGCCTGAAATAGTACCAAATAATCTTTTTTTCTCCCCATTTTCATTATCTTTCCATACCCATTTTCAATGCAAAATACATAAAATTAATTTATTATCAGTAGCTGATCATAAGCCAATTTGATTATTAATGCAACCCTGGTATTAATACGGTCATTTAAAAAAAGCAAAACTAAAAATGAAATATTCACTCACATCATATGAATACACATTTCCACTTTGTCTGATGGCTACAATGTGAGCATTTTCATTGAAAACCTTGAATGTGATAGGACAATGATGAAGCCCCTCAGCATTTTTGTGGAAGTTCAATTTGACTAGGTCCTTAGATGTAATTTTCTAGATTGAAATACAAAAGTTGAGGTTATGAAAAGGTTTCCAAACTCTTAAGTCATGGAAATGATAAGATATCATGAAAACAAATTGTATAATTGCATGTCCCTCTCATGTGTCTTGGTTAACTCTTAATTTCATCCCCTTTAGATAATTTAATAATGTCAAAAATAATAACAAAAAATATGAATATTTTCTCTTTTTTTTAAGGATAGCTTTAAATTTTGAATTATAGGAATGTTAATAAAAATTAAAATAATATAGGGGATTGCATTTAAATCAACTTCTTGAATTATATTGGATGTCAAAATTTAAATTGATTAAACAAATTCAAATCTTACTTTTTAAATCAGATTCAAAAATATTTTAAATAGATTTTTTCTTATCTTTTTATTTTTTAATTTCTATTTATAGTATATTAATTTTTATAAAAATTAGAAATAATTTAGAAAATATCATTTAAATCAATAAATTGACTTTAACATACTCATTTAAATTTAAGTAACATGATACTAGAAACATTAAAAAAATCTTAATTAAATCCATTTACATTTTAAAAGGATTTTCATAATTTTTCCCAAAATGAAATTTCTTTTTGTGTTTTAATAAAAATTTGTTATGAAATATCAAATAATTAACTTAAAAAAAGATTTAAAACCTTTTTAAAAAATTCATAGTCATAATATTATGGTCTCTATCTAATCCAGTGGTTCTCAACCTTCCTAATGCTGCGACCGATTAATACAGTTCCTTATGTTATTTTCGTTGCTACTTCATAACTGTAGAACATATGTGTTTTCAGATGGTCTTAGGTGAGCCCTGGGAAAATCTTGTGCGACCCCCAAAGGGGTCGCGACCCGCAGGTTGAGAACCGCTGATCTAATCTATATGAAGAAGAATTTCAGTTCAGTTTCACACTTTCAAATGATCAATGTCATAATTTTGCCATTCGTCAATGTCATTCAATTTCACCAAAGCCTTCTGATAAAATAATCTAAATAGAAAAAGTAATTTTCTATCTTTCAGAACCCCCAAGTCTAATTTGAAAAATCTAAGTTTAATTGAATAAAAATGAATTTTATCATTATGAAATGTGTAATCATAATTATATATAGAGAAAAATATATTATGTGAATAATAATAAATAAAAACAAACATAAGTTCTTTTAAGTAAGTGTCTATGATCTTAAAATATAAATAGATACGATAAATAAATAACTTTAACAAATTTTATTTAAATCATGATTTTTATAGGTCTGATTTAAATTATCTCAATCGTGAACAAAACTGTATAAATTATTATTTTTTATTTAAAAAAGCACAAAAAAATTGTGGTACAGAATAACCAGTAGGGATTAACATTAAATTTTTAAGATTGATAACATTAAATTTTTAAGATTGAAATTAAAGTTATACTTAACATTAAACCTAACAGGACAAGTTTCTTTGATCCAAGATATATTATTTTATCAAGAATATTATTTTCAAATGTAAGTAAAGGTTGTAAAAGTTTCCTTAGCTAGGTCATTCCCTAGATTCTCCCCCGTTTGCAAGGTTATTTATTTAACTTAAGCATAATAATTTGAAATAAAGCTGACATAATTAATGTTTAAAATAAAAAATCATTTCTCATTATTTTAAAAAATAATAGTCTCTCATACTTATATTTGGACTTCTCATCTCTTACCTCCCCATTGGCTGGATTAACTCCATACTTCTTTAGGAATGGGATTATATTCCTGAGGGAAATACAATTTTGAAATTATTTTCTGAACAACTGCAAAAAAAAAATAATACATCCTAAGAAATAATGAAAATAATTTTTTTTTAAACAAGCTTTACAACATATACTTAATTACTTATACTAAGTAGGTCATCAGACTTCAATTTCATTAAAGCTTAATAAACATGTTAACATTAATTTCGGTAAAAAAAATAAAACCATTTTCAGACAATGTATAATTTTTTAAAAGTATTAAGAGAAGCATTTAATGACAAATTAATTTTGTCCTTATTTTTAAGCTTAATATAAAAAAAATGGTTTACCATACCCAAATCCTTAATTAACATGCCTTGGACATAAATTTTAAAAGAATGTTCCAACAATTTTTTGAATGGTGCTTGCATGTTAACCGTTATTTGTAAAAATGACTGTTTCATGGCAACTTTAACAAAAATCTTTTTTATAGTGAATGTAGTCTACTGTGAAGAGACAAATAATATAAAGGACTGCATCAGACTCATTAAACAATATTAAAATGAAATAACCTGATCATGATTAGTACTTTTACTCTTTTTCAAATCCAACAATCCAGCATTGTTACAAGAATATTTACCCGAACATTCTGTTAGTTATGTAATTGACCCCTTACTTACATCAAATCAAAGATCACACCATCATTGGTACACAAGGGGTTCTCAAAAGGCTGTAATGAAATGCTAAAAAAAAAACACACAAAAAAAAACACTGATGTGTACCTTGCAAGAAAAATTTGTGAACAAAATAATACTTACATCTGCATTTATTTTTATTTAACATCCATATAAAATTAATGTAATAAAATATATAACAGAAATTCAGAGAAAAACTTTTTTTTTAAAAAGAAGAAAACTTATTTTCAATACCTGCAGCAGTGATAAGGAAGTCTCCGAAATTTTGAGTTTTCACCTGTGTTCTGAGTTCCCTTAAAGCCTCCCCACTCATGTTTCCATTCATTTGTAGTTAAATATCTGTGAAATTTTTGCATAAGGAAAATAAATTCAAATTTAAAAATTGCTATTAGAGTTACATTTAGTATAGAATTAACGTAACAGAATTAAAATTTTTAAAAATTCAGACTTGAATACCTTCATCACTAATATTTAATAACACAATTATAATAAAGCAAAAGAAGTATCTGAATTTGACTACTCACAAAACAACTAATACTACATTAGTTTGAGATTGATGTTTGATTAATTTAATATATTTTAATTCATTATGAAATAGCCCTAACCATACGTCTAAACTAGCTTTTAAAATATTATATTGAATAAAGTTCTATGTATGTTTTTTCTAGCTATGTAAGTCTAGTCAATTAGCCCATTATTTGTTATTAATAAATATAAATACTTCTATTGTGTTTTCACACACCCCAAGACCAAACCCACTCCCCCCCCCCCCCCCATATTTTTTTAGCCTGGGCAGTATACTCTAACAAATCATATATATTAGCCGTAAAGAGAAGTATAGTATGAAAAAATTACTCCTAGGGCAAAAAAGACTAATCTATGGGTTCCTGGTGGGGTTGCAGGTTGGAAAAATAAATGACAAAAAGTAAAGGTATTAAAGCAATTTCTCAAACTTATTGTTTACTTTCAAAATGCTTTTACATATCTCTGACAGATTATTCCAAATTTCTTCATTTGAAACAAAAAAGAATGACATACTCAATCATGATTTAAAGCTTGTTAACAAATTTACAATATCGAAATTTTCTTTGAATGTGTCAAGTGTTAAAGTTATATTGAATCATTTCATACTTATGGCTTATTTATGTTCAGTGCGCCACTTTGAGTTTCTGTGTAGGATTCTCTCCCATTTGTTTATTTGTGGATAATGACTAGAGTAAATTGTTCTTTTTTAAAATATAAATACGCTGATGGAATGTTTTAAATTAATTTTTCATTGAATAGTTAATTATAATATTTAAAACAAGGCTACTGTTTTGGCACTTTAAAAAATGGATAAAAAAAAAAAGAAACTGCAAAATAAAGTGTGTCAAAGTATATTACCATGAAACTGTAAGTTGGGTTTTCATTATTGTGAATATTTAAAAAAATAATTTTAATCTTTTTATTCAAATTTATGATTTTCTCAGTACAGCACAGTGTGTAACTGTAGCACACAAATATGTGGTTTTAGGGTTCACGTTAAGATTTGAAGATTTACACTTAAGTTAGGGGGGGGGGCGGGGTGTATGACTAAGTTTAAGGGTAAATTTATGCTTAAGTTGGGGGGGGGGGGACGACGACGACTAAATTTTGGGGTAAATTAACGCTTAAGTTAGTTGGGGGGTGGGGGTGAATTTAAACTTGAGTTAGGGATACTAACTTAGCATTCAGGTTTAGGCAGAGTATTAGATTTTAGGAAATGAAGTTTTTTCTAAAACAATTATTTAATTAAATTGTAACATTATATTCCCTATTTTTCGTATTCTTTCTGTAAGGAGCTAAAATAGCACATTCTGTCTTTCTCCTCCTCATTTTAGTGGACAAGTTTTTGCACTACTTTTTTTTTTTTTTATACATGTCTGCCATTTTGGTTGCCATGATGACAGATGTGTCATGGGTACCATGATGGCAGATGAGGGAAATAAGTGGGGCACCGAGCGTAAATTTACCATGCTTACAGTTAAAAAATAGATTTTGATGAGTTTAATTTATTTTAGAATACCATAAACACCTTTTTAAAATGAATGGGTCAGGTTAATCGATGTTGCAGATCACTTTGTGATTAAAATTAAAATGTTTTTATAAAATTGGGTCCTGGGTCATTTTGCTTTCTTAAATAATATAATATATTTCATGCACAAAAGATTGGGAACCTGTGGTCACTGTGGAATAATTATAATTAATTATAACTAATGCAAGTTGTAGTTAAGAATTAAGTTAGTTACTAGCTAGTAAGTTAGTAGTAGTTGGTAACAGTTTAGTAGTAGTAGTAGCAGTCAGTAAAAGTAGGGGACTAGACCTAGACATGATTATAAGTCTATTAATAAATACTAACATCAGGGGGAGGCATCCATAAATGACATCAAGCAAATTTTGCAGATTATTTACCCCCGCCCCGTCTGCAGTTTTCAACATAAATTCTCACAACTGTCAAAGTCAAAGTCACTACGCCCCAAGTCTCCCCCTCCGTGGCGTCATGTAACTTAATCAGATGTCATTTTTCTGACCTCTGCATACCTGTACTGATGCTCTCAGTGATTGTGGTTTAAAAATAAAATAATTATAATTATTGAATAAATTATTGTTGTATAAAACAATAATGTTAAAAATATCAGTAATTTAGTGTTTTTTGTGATGTCAGATTATTGCTTAGCCCCCCTTTGTCACAAAAATGTGACCCCCTTCCCCCTAAACCTGTGACATCATTTATGGATGGCCCCTAGGGCTAGGACTAGCGTAATCATACTAGTACTACTGTACTAGTTAGTCTTTTCTTCTTTTTACTTTAGTAAACTTCAGAGTGTCTACTCAAGAAGTTTACTAGACTAAGTAAAAAGAAGAAAAGTAAAAATATGTTTTTTCTGGTTATTTTTAAAATTAAAGGCAAACTCGGTAGATTATCGGCAAACTCTTTGGTTATGAGAAGGATCTGTGGGGAAAAAAATGAAGAGAGCTCTGGGCTATAGAATCAAAAATTTCAAAACGTCAACTTACAACTTATCTTTTTGATGCTGTTTCTTCCCCATTGTTTTTTTCTATATTTTATTTTCATCAATTTACCCAAAGCAGTTTTCAGATTATCGACTACTTATTTTTATTGATTAAAATTTTCAAGTACAGAGTAATCATCGCAGAAGCCTAAAGATAGTCGATTATTAAAAAAAAGAAACTATTCAATTAATTAATTAGTAAGTAGTGTATATTTTTTTGTAACAATAACTTTTAACTTTTTTATCAGCATAATACATGAATTAACCAAAAATGGCCTTCACAAGAAGTGTCACATCAGAATTTTTTTAATTACACCGGTGTATTGCCCAATAATTTCTGGGAGCAATTTGAATTACTTACATTTAGTTTCTAAAATAAGATTTGTGAAGGTTCGATTTTTAAAAACTAACCACTGCTTTTGTTGTTTATCCTTTATTAATATTTAACGTATAATAAAAATGAGCGTTTTATCCTACAATTTGGCTAGAGTTAGAGAATCTAGGGATTGATTGTCAAACTTCCTGACTAAAATGAAAGAGAGACAAGAAAAAAAGTGTTTACTGTGTGTGTGTGTGGGGGATAGGTAACTGTTTAAGATGCTCCAAAGTGGGCTAAGAATGGGGAGGGGTGATTAAAAAGGTTGGCGAAACACTGCTCTAGCCATATGAGCCATTTTGATGGTAGGCTACAACTTTTATTACAATCACCTTAACTTTAAAAAAAAAAAAAAAAAAAAAAAAAAAAAAAAAAAAAAAAAAAAAAAAAAAAAAACAACAAAACAAAAAAACCAAGCAAAACTCTTTTCAATTATAAATTAATTTAACTGGTTAAGAAAAATAATGACGCGCTGAATTTACATAAATAAAAATTATGTTCTTAGGTAGTCACATTGTAAAATCGTTTCTTTAACCAATCTAATGTTTTTATGCATTAATTTCTGAAAAAGTTTAGAAGATAGGCTGGGTTTTTGTTTTCTTAATCAGTGTAAAGAATGGAGGTATGAAGGGGGATCAAATAATATATTGATTGCCTTAACTATAATATATTCATTAAAAAATATAATTAAATCATTTCCAATTTCTGCATGATTAACGGAGAAAAAACACCAAACAAATCCAAACATTAAGAAACAAAATAATCGATTACTAAAGTTAGTTTGTTAATTAGAGTTATACATCCGGTTTTTCGCTCAATACATTTTGTCTTACAGAGGTTAGTAAATTAAATGTAGCGAAACATCTTTTGTTTGTAATTTTTATAAAAAGTAAGTTGTAAAATGGCTTTAACATATTAATATCAGTTACCTGAAACGTTTTCATGTTAATGGCAGAGCAGATATCTAGATGGCGATGGAGATTGAAGTTATTGTAAATTAAAGTTTGTTAGTTATAAATTTTCCTGGCTCACTTCAGTTCAGGTTCAGGCCTACTTACTACTACTAGTATTTTTCTTACTATACTATAAAACTATAATAATAATAGTTATAACTAGTACTAGGCTACACAATTATTATTCATTCTGATATGTTACTTAACAGAATTAATTAGTAGAGTCAGCCTGCATAGTAATAGTACTAGTAGTCACTGTAGTAGCCCTATACTATACTATAGACTATACTGATACTGTATTACTATAAATAATAATAATAATAAGTAGACTATAAATGATTATAATTAGTTTTTATAGTATAAGTAAATAGGCATATGCCTATTAATTTGCAACTTAGACTTAGTCAGTTAGTATTGCAGCATATTATTAGCTCATCCATTAGACCTTTATCAATCAATAGACAGTGATTCAATGCCTGCTAATAAGTATGTTTTTAGTAATATTTAGGCCAATGCCAATAGTCATGTCTCTTCAGATAACAGACCTTGATTTGAAATCCTTTTAAAAATGTAAATAAAATCATTCAATCTACCCCTGAGTACTCAGACCACTTTGAATACCCATTATTAAATTTAAATTTAAAGCTCTCAAAAATTCATGTCAATGTCATAATTTTAAAATTTGGGCTAGGCATATTTTAGTACAAGAAAAATATATTGCTATTGATAGGCTAATTATAATAGTATAAATAATTAAAGGCCTAAGTCTAAGTTAAGACCAAGTAGATATCAGTAGGAGTTATGAAAGCACTTATAAAGAAAAATAAAATAGCATGGACACAAGCGCTATAAAAGTACTCAATCATCATCACTTCACTTTGTCTTGCACTGAGAAATTTTTAAATTCAGATCTAGCCCCTAGGCAAAGACTAGGAATGAAATAAATCAAGTCTGACTGAACTGCAGATGTGAAGCTGTGGAAGGCATTTAAAAATAGGGGTGTGCCGGAGTCCGGTCCGGAATCCGGTTCCGCCGGATTTTGCACTATCCGGTGAAATCCGGTTCCGCCGGATTTACATGTATCCGGAACAACCGGAATCCGGAATATACCGGATTTCGGAATTTGCCAGATTTTGTGACTCACCGGATCATAATCTGAAATAAAAGTAATTCTCTTTCCCGAATTTCACACGATCACGATACATTAATCGATTGTTTCGAGCGTTGAGCTTGTTTAATGTTTAATATTCCGTACATACCAGAGGCTAGAGTCAGCACCGCTAATAGTGGCCAATAGTGTAGGGACTTTGATAAGAAAATTTAAACTTTTTGTAAAAATAAACCAATGGCATAGTTGAAAAGATGTAATTTTTTAAAGAATTATAACACCAAAATCATATTTTTAGCTGTTGTAGTTTTAAAGTTATGAATTTTTAAAGTACGACTTGGTTTGTCATTTTTTAACATGGACTGCATCTCCACATTCTGTGATCTCATTCCACCAATCCCGTCATGCGCAATGACTATATAGTTTATATAAGGCAACGCATTCCCTGCCTTATCACTAAAATACTGTTTAGACTTAGTTTAAACTTTCAACTTTGGCACATGAATAATTAATTAAAGCTTTCCCTGACCAATGGTTTAATAGTTTTTGCACACGGCAAACTCTTATGAATGAAACTCTGAGGTAGTACTACGATACAGTTATGCAAGTGGCTGTGAATGGTTGCCAATGACAACGTGTTGCACACGGTAAATTCTGATCATTTATAATATGGATTCTACCGGGTTGTTAAAGCTCAAATTAAAACATTCCAGTTTAAATGTCTTTAAATGCATTCTGAAACACAAGTTATCAATTATTTTGATGTAAATAGTGATAATAAATTAATATTTCCTAAGTATCGTCAACTTCCGCCATTAAAAAGGGGGGCGTGGCCAACCCCATGGCGAAATTAGGTTGAGCGAGCTGCATAACCTGCTGCGAACGCGTAGAAACATGGCGTCTCTCGTAAGACACTTATCCAAATGGAACGGAACTCAAATATATATCGAAAGTACTAATTTAATAATAAATAGACACACACATCGGAAAATTAAAAACTCGGATTTTTTGGCGCCGATTGCGAATTCCCATACACAAAAAGTAGTAGTCCACCTTGACTTACCGAAGTATCTACCAATAGTACCAAAATCCGGAATCCGGGAGAAACCGGAATCCGGATTATTCCGGATCCGAATCCGGATCCGGCGGATTTCGCATAAGAAAATCCGGATCCGGTTGGAAAAAACGGATCCGGCACACCCCTATTTAAAAATGAAATGCTTTAATAATTAATCTAATGCGGATCTGCTACAATTAAAGTCCCTAAAGTCTACTTATCAAAAAGACAATGACACGTTTTTTATTTAGTCTCTCAATCTCAACAAACCAGTTGTAAAAAGGTACCAAACTAAAAACTTAATTTTTTAAAATTTTGTTTTGACTATTTAAATAGAAAATATTAAAAAGACTGAACACGAGGAAAAAAACAAAAAACGAACAATTTAATATTGGAAGGAATTATGTAGTTTTGAAAATTATTGCTAAAATTTCTAAAATTAAAGATTATTTTAAATGCCAACTATACTTTGTTTTCAGAAAAATCTCCCTGACATTGCGATGCCCTAGCAACCAAAAGAAATACCGGTAGAATATTTAGCTTGGACAGTGTGAGCATTGGTTATATATTGGCTGATACCACTGCATTGCTGCTTGTGCTGCAGGCTGGTGGTTTGTTGAATGTCTTTCGACCCCTGGTCTGTTCAGTGCTATTTGCAATGTAAATTATTCTGCAAAAGAAATTGGATCTGACATTCATTTATATCTTCCACACAGATTTTGAAATAACTGGATTCTGTTTGAAAAAGTTTTGTCAAGTGAGAACGATTGGCCTTTCTTCATACTGTCAATACATATTTTTAATGTGTCTATAGAAAGAATAGCTATGCCTGTTTTCTGTTGTGATACCATGTTCATTTTTTGCATGTTCACTTAAACAAAACTAGAGTTAAAGGATGTTTGTGTAGTCTTGGCACCAACGTATCTGTCCACACACTTTTGAGTGTCAACAAATTTAAAGGGGGGGTGCACTTTTGTATGTCTGGACACTCATAGTTTCTGAGGATTCTGCTTTTTAAGTGAAAACCTCAAACATCCAATCCATGGTGAATGAAAAGGTTGGATTTTGAGGGAGCCACTTGTAGCAGAATGAACAACCAAATGGAATGGAATTATTTTCTGTTTTAGTCACTTCCAATATATGTTGTTGTTATTCATTAAAGCAAAGATACATTTTACTTAAGGTAATAAAATTATATCATTAGAATTAATAAATCATTTTTTTGTCATGCATTTCAATTTCTAATTTTTTTTTTACAAGTTACATTTATTGAAATGAATAAGGGATAAATAAATATATATATATATATATAAATCTGACCACCATTTACTTTAAGAAGACTCAATTGAATAGAAATTATGAGTGACCATTCAGCAGCCTTAGATGAGTCAGCAATGGAAACATCAGGAGCAGAAGAATCTGGAACTCATGTGGATGTGAATGAAATTAGTAATCTTGATTCCCATGAAAATGAAGAAGATGTTAGTAACAATGAGGATGATTATGGTGACCCAGGAGAGGAGCATGAGTTTGAGATTATTGATCAAATAGAGAGCGAAGAGGATGATAGGGATAGTGGTGAAAAGGCTGAAGATGACCGTCAAAGGAAAGAAAGAGAAAATGATGATGACTACAGTACCACCTCTGA